TCGCAAAATTACGTGTAATTATTACATTTGTCACGAAACACTAAACATTCGATCTTGTTGTCGTGCAAAGATATTTTATTTGTAAGAACTTTTATGAGAAAACGGATTCAATGTCAAAATATTTTCCTTCGTAAGAAATATTAAAAATTGTAAATCGCGTTGCGATGGGAAGTGGTGGAAAAGATTCGCCTTCCGATAAACTAACTGGACCTATAGGTTGAATATAAAAATCCATGGACAGACTTTCAGACGGATGAGTTTAAATCGAATCAGAAAATGCTTCTAAATTCAACGGCATATAGTATAAATCGAATATGTCATCTGTTACATCTGTACAAACAGTGCATTCTACACAACATGTCGTGCATAGAGGCGTTTTTTTTGAAAAACAACCCACCCTCGCTAAATTTTCGAGTCATATTTTTAGAAAACGTTACACTAGACACAAAATTGTGATCTGTAAGATAGGCATCGCTTCTCGGAACCTGTCGCGCCTCTTTTTTGCATGAAGAACAAATTTCTTTTAATCCATAAGACTGGTACTCACTCCATCCGTATGCATGAGTCCGCATTATTAATCATAATAAATATTTTCATTTCTTATTTTCTATAAACTTGGAAAAATAAACCTATTTTTAGTGCACACAATGGGATATATTGCATACATCATATGCCTTAAGTAATCATACAAGTCCACTTATTTATTTTTAATGTCGACAAAAGGAGAGAGAAGAAGCAATTGCTATTATTATTTATTTTATTATGCATATGAAAGAAGGAAAGACAAATTTGTTGTTTTGTGTTAATTGGTTACTCTTACGGAATACTTAACCTTTGAAAGAAAATGAAATTTTGTGTTGCAAAGTTACAGTTAATTGGCTTTTAATTCAAATCAAACAACAAAGAAATAATTAATAAACAACAGCAATGAAAATAGAAATCTAATTAATTGCTCGACAGGCTACTATTGACAATTTTCGTGCTTATGATAACTATCGGTTTGTACGTGTTCTCAAGCAAATTGATCAAGTGGTGGGCATGTGCAAATAGAAGTCTGCATTGACCACAACAATTCTTAAGAATTATAAAAGGAAAACGGAAATAATTTAATAAATAAATACTTATATGTTCGCCCTGGTAAATAAAAAATAGTACAACATTTTCAATCGGCAGGAACGGAACTCGAGAATTGTAATAACCTCTCTAGCATTCTCTCTATCGATGTAAGCCCTTGAGAGTTTCATTATTCATACCAGATATTACAAGTAAGAAAATTATATTCGACTGCGATGGAATTTCCAATTTGCATCGATCTTTAGATTAGAAAAAATGCGGAACGAATTGATCATAAATATCCGAGAATTCATTTTTGTTTTTAGGTAAATTTGAAGGCGTATGCCTTGTTCTATGTATAGTCCAATAATAGCCCTAAACTTCTCTCATCTTTTATAAGACCTTGCAACAGTTATTGGTGAAAATGTATCAATGCACATGAGATTTAAGTTCGACGATTTCGACATTTCTCTCTACCGATAATAAAAGGTTTCCATTGAAGCGCTCAAAATTGCATTTCCGACCTTCATCACTTTCGTTGTTTAATTTGAAGAGATCTACTGCCCCAGCCTTTCAAACACTTTTAGGAACTTATGGTGATGCGCTGCTCCATCATATCCCAATTGTATTTGATGTCAATGACAAAGAACGGCCTGTGGACGGACACCCAAGAAAGTTCGAAGAGAATGAATTGCAAGACTTATTGGACGAAAACCCAGCTCAAGCTATAAGAGCATAAGCATTCACACCGACACCGAAGCGGTACGTTCATGGCCATAAAGTTTTCCTGTGCATACGATGGAGATCAGCAAGATATATAGTGTATTGGGAGCTAATAAAAAAACCGAATGTAGCTGTTACTGCGCCCTCGGTCACATGTTGCAACAATTTTCAAGAATATACTGTTGCAGCTCGAACGAAAAGCTCTGCCACACCCAGCCAACCTACTCTCCAGACAGACAGCGCCTTCTGATTACCATTCGCTCAGATCGATGCAGCTTGACTTGGCTGACACGCAGTGTCAAAATCGTAAAGAAATGCGAAAATGAGTCGATGATCGCAATCCGCTGTCAAATCAATGTCGTTGTTTCGACACAGGGGTCGCCATGTCGCTAAAAAGATGGGAAAAAGTTGTTGAAAATTACGCCAAATATTTCAACCAATACATGCACATTGTATACATTTTTCTCAATAAATTCCATTTTCAAGTGAAAAAACAGGCAACTGATCCTTTCATGCTATACGCACACAAAAGACAGCGATATTTGTGTATCGTTGTAAGAGCAGTTCGAACAAAGAATTAGACATCTGCTGACACCTGTGTTAATCGGAAAGAGTAAAGCTTGCTGATAACAGCAGGAGACGGAGAAGAGAAGAAAGAAAGAAGAATTGCGAAACATCTTCTAAGCGAGTTTAGGTTTTTATATTTATCATATTTTGCGTGATATCATGACTTTAGGCAAATTCCGCTCACTTTTCGTGCCAATTGCATGAGCTATTGTTGATAGCTTTCCCGGGTGATAGATTGCTCACTCTGCATAATGATTGTGTGGGCTGCAGATATTGTAACGGGTTCACCGCTTATCGCACGTGAAGATTTAACAACACTATCCTCCAATTTAAACAGGCAGCGTACACTTCCCTTGAAATGGAGTTTCTTTTCTTTAGGCAAATCTACACCTATATAAAGCTTCTAAAGAAACTGATCATTTATGCAATCGCGCATAACTTAACAAGTTAACTGTGTCGTTCTCCTTGCAAAATGGGCATTTAAATTGCGTCGGAAAAATTTAGCCTGACGAGTATACTCGTCGTGATACAATGGAGTCTGTGTAATGTGAAATTAGATTGTAATGAAATAACAAGATCACACACACACACACACCTATATATATATATATATATATATATTCTAAAATACACATTCATCATAATGATAAAATTTTATGAAGACATTCCGCAAGGACACATGGACGGATGATGAAGTATACATATTTATCATATATACATTTAACTGATTAAAGATGATACTTTCAAATAGAGGATTTATAATTAAATTGAGAGCAATACTACAAACTGCTTTGATTCTCGTTTAGAACACGGGCGAAGCTATATTCACACAGACAATACTACAATATGTACGTAGAACAAGTTTGAAACTTTTACGCGAATATAACGAACGTTTCACTTTCATTAATAACTGCTCTACATTTTCATGGATGCAAGATGTGACGCCTGCCTAGCGTCTCTAAGAATTCTACGCTTATTAAAGTTGATTTATTAAACAATTGTGAATGCTTTACGATTCTTGATATTATCATGAAATGTAAAATTATTTATTATGATATGTTTTTTTAATTACTGGAATATTTTTCGCGTTCAGCGCAAGCAGGGGACCGGATGAAGATGAGGTTATGAAGTCGGCCCAGTGTCTTACAGTGTGCGCAGTTTTAAAGTAGATTCTTGGGACTAAAAGTGTTCTCAAAACAAGTTTTCTCCAAATCAATATAAAACATAATAACAAATTTGAAATAATTTTATTATTCATAGATATCTTTTTAATATTATAAATAAAATTTATAATAATATCTTTTATAACTCATATGGTTTATATTTTCTGTTTTGTGCTCATCAGCTCATTTAATGTTTGATATAATTTTTACAAACACACATACACACACATACACGCACACCCCCCGACAATTTGCGTTTGCCCTCTTGCAGTGAGCTTCCCTTGGACACGCTAAAAAATTGACCCCAACTTATTTAGTGCATTGTTTTTTTTTTTTTTTTTTTTTTTTTTTTGTTCCAAAAAAATAATGACACATCTACTGCATTTTTATAAACATTCGCGTCACTCTCTAGATGAGTTTACGGGCATGAATGTGTACACATGTGAGCGTACATTTGATATAAGTAATGATTTTTGTTGTTTATTTATTATTCACATGATGTATGAATCAAAATGGATCGCATAACTAATCCATGGTAAATGATTCATTAAATTAACTGATAAGAAAATACTTTTTCTTCATTCGCTACTCATTTCTGCTACTGCAGAACTGTTGCGTGCGTGCGCCTCCTTTCAAGTTAATTGTAAATATCCATGAAAATGTTGTTGTGCCCACACATTGCAAGGAATATAATAAATTACATAAAGACTTGCAATTTGTAGGAGCATTCTCGATCAGCGCCATTGCCAAAGTTACTCTATGCCTAAATCTATACACTTCTCATATACACAATATATTCATATGTGATATGCATTTCGAAAATTTCTGATAACTTTCATCATTTATTTGATACTTTCAAAATGTTGCGTGTGTGCGTTCAGTCATGTATTCAAGCATAAGTTTTTCTCTTATTCGGTAGGGCTTTAAAATATCAATTGTCTCTTAATATTCCACAGGCACTTGTGGCAAAAGTAGAGTCACTTTTTGTTTTTTATTGGACCGATATATTCAGAATAGTTTTCTGAATCGATTTAACCGTAGCTGTCTGGCCTGTATGTGTACCGTCTGATGTTTGTCCGGGTGTTGTAGTCTTCAAACTGCAGGTCGGAATTTTTCACATATTTGATGATACACCGACATATACTAGATCAAGGGGGAGGGGACTCTATTCAAAATGGTTCAGATCGGGACACTTTTCCAACAACTTCACATATATAATGCCTTATTTTGAAAAGTTGGTGACTATATATGAAAAAATATATAATGTCACGAATGTCACGGTATGGAACGGGTATTGAATGATCGGCCGTAGCCGATTGTAATATTTTTACTTGATTTTTTTAGAAATAGAGATAAAGTTGTGTTGCATTAATAATAATTATAATATGAATAATTTATTTATTATTATTTAATTAATTTGCATTATTATTATTTATATGTGTTATTTATTAATATAACTTATATTAATTAAAATTTATTATTTGATAATTTCAGATTATTTACATCACTGCCAAAATATACGCAACATTTATTAGTTTTACTATTTGGTACATTTCGGGTAATTGCCAGTAACGCCGCTCATGCCGGCACCGGTATGACTAGCGAAGCTTTAGGTGTTTCGGTTGCTCCTAGTTTCTTTCAATCGTGCGTCAGTGACGGCAAAACGGCTCGTATGGAAGATGTGCTAAAATTTAAAGTAAATAATTCAAATTAAGTAAACGAAAGGTCAATAATTTGTTATTTTATATACATTTCATTATTTATTGCGTTTAGGTCGCCACAAAGATTATGAAACATATTATCGATAAATTTGCTACGCATGATTTATTCGGTCGCGATAATTATGAATATTATGCTCGTGTTACGGGACGTATATTGAAAGTGCAAGACGAGTGGATTTGCAGTTTTCAATATCCCCCACCGCCCAGGGGTAAAGTAGCGCAACAAAAGTATGCGTGTAAGTAATTTAAGATTAAATTTCTTCCTTTCTATCATTTTATTGAAATCCTTTTATTGCTTTTAGTGCAACATTCATTGGAGGCCGAGAAAACGTGGCTGCAATGTCAATGCGAACGCTGGGGTTTACGTGAGTATATATATATATATATATATTTATATATATATATATATTTATTTATTTATTTATTTAATGTTGTCGTCGTCGTCGTCGTTGTTGTCGTCGTTATCGTTGTATGTGGGTTATATTGTTTTTACTTGACATCTTTTCTGTTCTCTGTGGTGGTTAACCAGCACTATTTTGTTGAATTATTAACCATGACTAATTTGTGGGAAGGTTTAATTGTTTAACGAAATTTCAATACTAATAACAACAACACGATATTCTCAATTTATCATAAAAGACAAAAGTATTGTCGTTTTCTATTTCTTCTCTCTCTCTCTCTCTCTCTCTCTCTCTCTGTTTCTATCTCTATCATGAATTATTAATTACCATACACTACTGTTTTTATTTCGATTTCTTCTTCATTTTAAGTTTTCTATGATTTAAAATCGAATTTGAGACTTTTAAAAGAAAGCAAAGATTAGAGCTCTCGCTGAGAATGATGAATGAATTCAGCTAAACAGTTTCTCTTTCCTTCTTCTCTTTCCTTCCTCTTCTTCTTCTTTCACTTTCTTATTATCTCTCGTCCTTTCTGCCTTTGCGTATATATTATTGTTAAGCGTAAAAAAAAAATAATTGAACTGATATAATAACGATTCTTGCATGCAATCTTGCTCGAATTCTTACTTAAAAATAATATATTGCTGGTAGTAAAAGTAAAAAAATTCCTAATTCCTAGAATGTAAACTAAAGTAGTCCAACTTACTTACGACGATAGTATAAATTAAATTGCGATTGATATATAGAATGCAATCTTCATGCCTTCTCTATGAATACACATCTGATGGAGATTGCATCCCAGTAAAATTGTATTCGCCTAATATTCCTACAAGCAACATTTCATTACCTTAAAATCACTATAAATCGGGCGATACAACAAATTTCACAAAAAAAAAAAAAAAGACTTTGACAAAAAGACAGAGAAAGTACGAGAAATAGTAAAGAAAAGAGAGGAAAGGCAAATTTCTTTTGTATCGTTTGTATATATAGAGGTCTTTAAGGAAAATCTTTTCCTTTGACGCTATTAGAAATAAGAAAGAAACCATGCCTTTCTCTCCTTCCTCTTTTCGCTCTTTTTCTTTTCTCTTTTACTTCTTTTATTTTTTTTTTTTTTTTTTTTTTTTTACTTAATTCTCTTAAAAAATAAAACAATAAAAAAAATAAAAAAAAAAATAAACAAATAAATGCCGCTGTCTCTTTTTAATATGTTTGTTGTGTGTGTGTGTGTATATGTTCGTACAGTTGCTCAAGAAGAATCGCGCTCAACGCCTGCCTTGCTAACCAGCTCCAGTTCTGCTTTAGACAATAGCGCTGTATCACTGGGAGTAACACCTGAACATTCATTTATGGAATCTTGTGCTCGACTCTCTGTCTCTTTAGAAGGACCGGGTCTATTCGCAATGACCTCTTCACCGTTGCCCGTTCGCAAAACGCTCAATCATTCAAGAGACGGTATAGATGGCGATGACGACGAGGACGACAACGATGATGTGGACAATTACGACGAAGATCAAAATAGTGGGCTGGGTAATGATAATGATAACACTATCCATTATTGTGGAAACGATGCAGATTTAACGGCTGAATTAGACCTGGATATTGAAGATGACGATGATGACAAAGATGATGAGGAAGATGATCAACAACAGCATGAAAAATTCAATAATGGAATAAAAAATGGCAACTTTTATATAAGCGGTAATTATGAGAGAATTCGTAAATTGGGACGCCTGACGATGAAAACTGAGCGAGGAGAAAATAAAACCGTTAGGGGAGAAAGTCTGGCTACTAACGATAATTTGGATGATGTCGATGGCGATCGCGATGGCGCAATGAGGAGTGCGGGCAAACGCCGCTTTAGGCAATATAAAAAGAATACACCAAATAGTAGTTCAGCTCAAATGAGAGTACAAATGCAACAACAAAGACGTTTACGATCGACTAATAGTGGCTCCAAATCATTGGACGATGAAAATTGCCAATATATCGATGATTACGAATTTTTAAATAAATCCAATAGTAGAATTAATAATGCAGCAACCACTTCCAATACCGTAATGAAAACAACAATTCCAGATTCGGTGGCTTCAACAATGAAAGGGCGCTTTTGTAGTCGCTGCAAACATGGTATACGTCATTCGTCATCATGCTCATCGTCTAACGTCTCCACAGGTGGCACTAACACTAACGGCAGCGGCATGACCATGGAAGAGCTAAGAGCTGTTAATCGTTATGCCGAAAGCACCAAAAGTTTGTCATATTTGCCACAGGTGAGGGATGAATTCTTGCTTGCTTCAAGGATTTCGGTATAAATGTTATATCATTTAATTTTAATTAAATTTTTTATTTCATTATTATTCTTCTTTTTTTTTTTTTTTTCTTATTGAACTAAAATTTCATTAGCTAAAAAAAAAAAAATTGTAGTTATGTAGTTGTAATATATATTATTTTTACATCTTTTGTTTTTCTCTTTTTTTTTTTTTTTTTTTTTTTTTGTTTTTGTTTGTTTTGTTCGTTTTCAAAAGAATTTATTTGAATACTTTGCATTCGAGACCAGCTTGCTAGGAAATTTGAAAATTTAATAAGCAAGAAAATCCTGAAGATATATTTAATATTTTTAATATATACATACATACCATTCGAGTGTTTGCGCTTACTTAACACCCTCTAATTTCTCTCACACCGACCGATTCACATAAGCGCCAAACGCTCACACTTCATTACAAACATAGAAAAATATTAACGAAGATTCGGCCGGCAGTCAAAAGAAGAAGACTTACACGAAAATCGA